ATGCCTGGATATTGTCGTCTCGAATACAGTACTCTACCTTTGACACAACCACAGAACTGGCATTCAGCTGAGACAGTCAACTGCCTGTCTTGATCGCATGCATACATCCTCACTATCGGTTGTTAGTCGGCAGGACAAGCGGTAGACGGTGTGTGTGTGTGCTGCCAATAAGGCAAGGGAACGATGCCAATATCACTCATGACATGCATGATGGCTACTGTAGGAGTGAAGGCTTCGTCTCGATTGACGCACAGCATTTCAAGGGCCGAGATAAGTAGAGGGGCCGGTGTGGGTAGCAAGAAAGAAACGCATGGAAAAGGTGTCTGCGGGTAACCTCCCTTACGGGACGTTTGCCGGCGTTACTGCAACGCAAATTGCTTTCTCCTCTCCGCTGACCCAGTTTAGCAGCGGAGGCGGATACTTTTGCAGGAAGCCATCAAAATTCGAGAGGATTTAGGTCTTCATGTTTCCGCGATAATGCGTGTGGGCGGAATAGTCAGCCCTGTGTTTCGACACGCTGTCAGGCGTCGCGTTCTCCCGGCGATCTTGCCTCGAAGGAACGGGTAAAGGGATAGGATACAGTCAGGCACGCTACGATCTCATCTCAGGCTCCTTTCGGACCGGTCTTCAACGTGTGTGACCCACTCTCCACGAGAGTGAGGACCGTGATTGGGAGTCCGTGTGTAGAGGCAACCAAGACCCGCAGTCGACATGGTGCCAGAGACGAGAAGAGAGAGAAAGTCCGACATTGTCAGCACACATACACATGCATACCGGCCCTTTGCACGTTTGCAGTTGAGTCGTGGAGAGTGAATTGTCGCATTTTACGCAGCCTCGTACGCAACATCAAGCCGCTGAGCAGGGGCAATCCAGGAATGAGGGGAGAGGGGCCAATGGATGGAGGATGGCGTCGGCACAGCAGCCTCGGGGCGGCACAAGGTGCATCGGCAAGTATCCCACTCGCTGACAGACGGGAGGCCAGTGGAGGCGGGCCAAATTTCAGGGTCCAGCAGCGGCTAGCAAGGGTATGATGCTACATGACGAGTGCCAAGCCTCTACCCGGTCGTAAGCCCACCGCTCACCGAACGCCAAATGATGGCATTGCAAAAGGGTAGAGCAATGGCTTTTGACGTTTTGGTCCAACTGAAACCGGGTGCGCCCGTATGACGAAAGCTCACGGATCCACGGTACCATACCAGATAGTCACAGTGTCGTCACAGTGCTGGCGGGCGGAGGAGAGAACAAAGGGAAACACGTCGAAATAGGAAGGGCGTGGTTGTGAATTAAACAAGGGTCTTTTTGATTCTGCCGCACTCCCCTCCACTACATGGAGAAATGCGTCATTTTCTTGCGCTGCTTAAACTCGACTCAGTGTCGTGTTGATGGTTACCCTGGCTACTGCCAGTCGCTATGGGGCACCTATGCGCGCTACTGCTAATGTACAAACGTCATTCTGCAAACCATCCGCTGCAACGCTGCATCGGCCGGGTGGCTGCTAAAAGAGAGTCTAAAAAATATTAAAGGGTATAAGCGAATGATGACAGCATGTGCTTCGTGACGACAGTGGACCGAAGGCCTTGTCGAGCACAGCTGGGAATTAGGCGAATATGTGCAGGCGATAAGGAAAAACAGTATCCTGGCCCAGGCGATCGATGCGCGTAATATTACAGTGTTGAGGAAATCGCTCCAAACCGAAAGGAAATAAGAAAAATGACAAACAGACACTCGTAAAGGGCTTGCAGATGGAAACGCCAGAAAACGCCGTGGTGGTCCCCTCCTTCGTAGGCAATAGGGCCAGGTGGTATCTCCGTAAAAGCCGATAATGTGCAGCGATAGGTGGAAGGAACATCCAAACTAGATGCGGTTTCGCTCTAACATCTTGGCCGACAAATGCGCAACAATGGTATCTCAAACGTCAGGTGTGCTAGATGAGCGACAAGGCCGATGATGATACAGGTAAGGAAGCGTGAACACAAACAATTGGACCTAAAAGTCCTTTAGTGGTCGACGCTGTCTGGCGATGGGTGGTCGATGCTGCCGTCGTTCTTGTGTACTTTTCGGTGTCTCCTCAAGTTGGAAACAACGGAGAAGTGGCGTCCGCAACCCTCGACTTCACAAGCAAATGCTATGATATTGTTAGAAAGACAATCCCAGTAGACAGTCAGAAATAAGAACTTACGTTTCTCTCCAGTGTGGCTGTACATGTGTGTTTGGAGGGAGCTTGGTCGAGTGAAGCGCTTGTCGCAAATCTTGCACTTGTGCTTCTTTTGCGAGCTGGATGAGACCTTTGAGCTGAACTGGCTCATCATGGAGGCGGGGGCAGGGGGCATGTTTGCGCCGAGAAGTGCGTTGGGACGAGGAAGGGTGCGCGAGCTGCCTAGGTCAACAGACTCGGAGGCGGAGCTGTAGTCGGTGACTGAGCCTTCGCCACCGTAGTATCCGTTGGGACCATAGCTGGCAGATGAGATGGAAGAGTGAGCGGAGTGCGTCGAAGGGAATCCGTAGGATTCTGTGGAGCTGCGGCTGGTTCCCTGAGTACCATAGATATTCCTTGGGGTAATGTCAGACTGGCTCAAGGAAACCATGCCGCGGCTAGCGTCGAGAGCATCGCTAAAGCTGTTGCGTGGCTGCTGGCTATTCATTCTGCTAAAGTCAACAAGTGAACTTTGGCGCTGTCGCTGGGACTCGACGGATTCGTAGAATGCTATTGAGGGGACTAACGGGTGTGAAGAGCGACGAGAGGCATCCTGCTGGAATGCATATGGGCTCCGTTCTGTGTTTGCGTATTCCACCTGGGAGTATGGAGCCGAAGTAGGAGCATAAGTCTGATTTTGAGGAGAGGCGGATGTAGCGTAGCCAGTGGGGTATCCGCGTGACATGATATCTTCAGAGGCATCAAGTAAGTTTGGTGTCGCGAAGTTGCCATCCGGGAGAGTAATACCTTGTCCCATGGGAGGGGCTGTGACGGGCATGCCGTGGTAGGGAATGGCGATGCTTGTGGGGCGCTGTGCGTCGACATTGGGTGCCACGGTTGTCTGGTAGAGTTGCTGCTGTGAGGTGCTGGCCGAGACCCATGGGTTGGTGAAGTGTGGTTGTTGTGGGTAGCGCATGTGTTCGTAGCCCATGCCGTTGAGCTGGGGTTGCTGGCGATTATCGACTGCCATTGCCATTGCGGAGATTTTGGATAGCGGATTCGAAGGGATGGTGAGGGTCCAGGAAGGGGGCAGGAGGGTGAGGTGGTACAAGAGAATAAAGCTGAGTTGCGATGGTCAAGACTCGACTCGTAGATCCAAAAGGTGAAACAAGGTAGTCGAGGGTCAAAAACGTGGAGATAGTCGATCACAGGCAGTCAACGATGGGATCTGCGACCTTTTGAATTCTCTCTGACACTGGGGACTCCCGTGCAGTGGTATTCCGAGAGAAGTAATGATGATCGCTTTGGTATGTCGATCAGTTGACCTGTACTAAGCAGGACCCGTGACAAAGAACCAGCGAGATTAGGTGTAGGGCGAAGCGGACACCAGCGACCGAGTGGCAGACGCTCGGGCGTTTCACGTCGAGGACCCGTGCTCAGAGGGAGGAGAATGCCCAGCGGGTGCAGGGGCGGAGGGTGTGGGGTGGGTTGCGTGTTGCGTGTCGCCGTGGGAAAAGTTCGGTAACGTTAATTCGCCAGGAAAAGCAAGCCAGCGAGAAACAAGTAAGGATAAGAGGGCAGCGATGATGAAAGCAGTATAGATGGGTTTGGGGCAGGGCCAAAGGGTCAGGGATGGGCAGTGCGCAGAAGGTGAAGAGGCTGTTGATCAGCGGGCAAGCAGTCGGGGAGCCCTCATTGATAAATTCGCGTGCGTGGAGGGTTTACGTCTTTGGGTTCACAGCAGGACCATCCATAGGCTAGGGGCCAAGCAGGCAAGCAAGAAGAGGAGCTGGGAGCTGGCACGCTGGCTCAGCACCCCGGACGCTGCTACGTCTGCGTCGACAGGGGGCAGCAGTCGACGCTAGCCCTGCGCGCGCCCACCGCTGCTTTTACTTACGCAGGTGGAGAGCGGTCGTTCAGCGACGTGCCCACGGGCTGCGTTGCATCCGCGCCATCTGGCACTGTAGCCTCAACAGCCCGGTGTGTGCCGTTGGCTTAGCACCGCACCATGGCTATTGCCTTCCGCTCGTCGTCTGAACCATGGCCGGCAAGCCTGCGCCCCCGTCGGCGACCAAAGCAGCCCACCAGTCTACCAGTCCACCTCTCGTGCTACGCCTGTCCGTCCAGCAAGGCTAGCAATAAGCTCTCTGCCTGCCAGCGCGCCGCGAATCAGCGGGCGGCAGGCGCGGGAGGGCTTTTTGGCTTTTGTTTTGGCGTGCCTCCACCACCACTAGGGCCGACGACGCGCATTGAAGCAGCCTAGCACGCATGCTCACAATTGCATGCTTCCCATTTGGGCTCCACGGCTAGCCACATGTGCGGAGCGGACAGTGCGAGGGCTCCGCAGCCATGCTGGGCGTGGGTGTGGGCGGCACGGCCATGGTGATGGGGCGTCGCTGTCATCATCCTGGTGGGTGCCTGTGTGCATGTGCGTGTGTGTAGTAGTGTAGTAGTGTAGCATGCCCCTGTGGTGGTTGCTGTGCTTTTTTTTCCTCCTCCCACTCTGAGCGCGAAAGCGCCGACGACTCAAGAAGCATCGCTGCACAACAACGGTCGTCTAGGATCAAGGCCCGCGCCAGCAAGAGGGACCGAAAAAGCGGCTTCACACACTTGCCCTTTTGGAGGTGCATCGCGCCGGACACTGGCCGGGCACGCTGCTTTCGCGTCGCGGAGTCGGACCGCCACAGCCCATCTCCACGACGTTGCGTAAACTCGAACTCTCCCACCGTCGTCGACCTGGTCCTAGCGCGAGTTCCGCCCCCCCTCCTGACTCTCCGTTGTGCACGGCGGCGTCGAGGAGAGAAAAAAAGCGCCTCTGGTGAAATTAGTCTCCTGAGGCATATGCGCCTGTGCGCACACCTAAGCAATGGTCAAGCGTTTGATCGCCGTCCACGTTGCTTTTGATGCCAGACGTCTGAGAGGCTTTGTCAGATGGTGGACCAAAAAAGCTAAGGCTTGTACGTCAGTTTGGGACAAGTGGGCTGGATGGGGGAAGACGCACTCGCTCCAATAGGGGACAGCGTCATCTCGTCGCCGTACCTGCTTTGCACAGCACCCACTCCAAGTAGTAGTGGCATACCCGTCATCAGTAAGTACGAGGCGATAATGGCTACTGTACTCACCTACAGCGCCCATGCCTGCCCATGACGACAGCATGGCTTCCACGACACGCTTGCACTCACACCCACCCACTTGGGCATGCGTGCGTGGTATGTAAGTGTACATAGCTACTCAAGCGCGTGGGACCTGTTAGCTTCGAGCAGTGATGAGAGCCAAGGCCTGCCTGTATTCCCAATGACACGCCCTGCTGAGTGAGAGCAGCAAGACAAAGTGGGCGCTGGCCTTGGATGTCGTCATGGGAAAGGCGCCATAGCGCTGTTGCTAGCTGGGGGGCTGCTAGCGGCATCTGATTGGCGCACCGCACAATTTGTACCTGGCGACAGCAGCACCGCATGCAAGATGATGTCGAGGCGGCCAAGTGCGCATTGCGTGCCGCTCGAGTAAGTAGCAGTCGTGGTAGGAGCAGAGTATGAGTGAGGGGTGTGCGTGTGCCTGCACCACCTGCATAGCCGTCGCCAGCCAAGTCATGCCGGAACTCTGTCGTATATCTGGCTTGGGTTGGCGCAGCAGTCGGGTAGTACTCGACTGGACAGCAACGGGCGCGATGCGGTGGTGGTGAGCAAAGTCGTCGCCGCATTCATTGCCTTTGCAAGTGACGAGGGGAGTGGCAAAGGAGCCAAGACGATGCATACGGGGAACTGCCATCTCACCGCCCACTAGCGCAAAAGGACAGCGGTGTTTGAGTGGCTGCCTGCCGCCACAGCACGGCCGCCTTGCATCCATCCATGTGCATCGTGCCCGGGCCACCACCACCCACCCACACCCACTGCACTAACTAAGTACCCATACCCACTACCCACTACATACCCACCAACTGCACTGTGCATTCCCCCCCCTCACACCCCTCTCACACCCCTCACTTTTGGGCGCTCCGCGGAGCCTTGTGATGCAGGGCAACTCCTGTAGCAGCAGCGCCATCCCGCTCTCCAAAGTCACTTGAAGGCGCCTGGTATCCACATGCTTGCGCCTTTCTCCAGCGCTATTGCGGCCATGCACCTGTCGGCGGAAGCGCTACTTTGCTCTATCTCCTCGAGCCGTCAACCCAAATGACTACGACTACTTACTACTTGCTCAACTGCCCTACCGCTTCCGCTGTACCCATTCGGCCTCACCATGGCAAGACCAGTGGATACAGCCCTTTTCAACGTGACGGCAACCTCGCGCTACAGCGCAATTTTGCGCGTCCCATGCTCCTCCCATGGCCTCTTGTCCGTTACCGGCCACGAAGTGCTCGGCATTTGCACGCTGGACCCTGCATTCGTAAGCTCGGCCGCATCCCCTCAGTTTATCAGCCGTTGACTTGTTGAGGCCGACTTTGTGTTGGCTTGCCAAGCCAGGCGACTCGTCGATAAGCTTGTGGATTCTCTTTTTTTATTTCCGAGATCAGAGTCTAGTCAGCCAATACGAGTAGTAGCGCGTGGCGCGTGGAGAACCAAATCCGCTGCCCGCCCCCTCTCTTCCCCCCCCCTCGTCTGCGTTGTATAGCGTATCTAAGCAGCTGTAGACATGGTTGTACACCTACGCATGTACACTTCTATGTCTGATGTGCGACGCTGTTTTCATTTTCCTGGAGATCGCCATCAAGCCTACCCCACGGTTCCGTCGTGAGCTAGACGTGCGGCTCTGCAAGAGCGATCAGCGCACTCTGACAGCCGGGGGCGCATTTTTTTTTTACATGGGCAGGATAGAGATAGTAAATTTGCACTCGTCCTCGTGGTAGTACGTACTCACACACACACCGGTCAACTGAGATTCCTTGATGCAAGAGGGCACTGCGGAGTCATCCAAAGGTGGACCGCCCACCAGGGCTACAGCAGAGGCTCACTAGAGAACAGGGCAGCAAGTGAGCCGAAAGCCTATCAGACAAGCGCAAAGGACTCGAGTGAAATGGCAAAGCAAATGTGGTCGGCGAGGCAGCGAATCAAGAGAACCCAACATTCTGGCACCCTGCCATGTACACTCCTGTACATAACCTTGCACATCCATTCTTTTGAGCAAAAAGCTCGTCACGGGCAGCGGCGCAATGGGGCCCGCGTCGCCGACCAATCATGAGTTAGCACGCCAAGAGAAAAATGCCTCGAGTCGGCGTGCCGCAGTGCCCCAAGTGCTCAAGCCGCCCGATGTAACGTTTGTTGAAACTGCGGGAGTAACGTGGGCTGTCACCCTCACAGCCTTGAAGGGGGGAGGGGGGTGAGGGCGCGTGGGCTGCGTAACCAAAACAAATCAAAACAAGCAGTGTCTGTGCATGTCCAAGGTTTGCGCGGGAGATTCTGCATGTCCAAAATCATATCTGACTTGTCTACTATGATCTTCATCCCACTTCCCGCACCTCTCTAACGTCCAAGGCTTATGATCTTCATCATAAAGTCAATCCTTTGGGAAGTGATTGCCTATCCAATTCCCACTTTGAGACGGCCTGCCATGTGGAAACTAACGAACGTGCAATGCAGTTCGCAGATCGGAATCTTGCCCACTTCCTAATCCGAACCGCATGCTCAACCCTTGTGACCATCACCCAAATCCTACACTGTCATCTTTTGCTTCCCCTTTATGCGCGATAAAAAAAAGGAAGAAACAGAGAGAGAAATTGTCAACGTGCGAATGCCAATACTCACCACCCATGTCAATGCCAATGCTACAGTACTACTCATACAAGCCCGCCCTACGCCCGTCCGCCCCAAAAACACTCCCCGAACACGTCGCATTTGCCCCTTCTGAGCGACCTGCACTAATAATACAATGTTGCTTCTTAACGGCAAAAGTAGCCTCCCATTGCACATGACGTCTTCGAGAAGTGCATAGCTGCTATAAGAGGAAAGCCACACTCTTCTTTCTGACATGAGATTGCATGGATATCACCCTCCGTGCTGCTACCGTGAGAGCGGAAAAGCACGTGCTCTGGTGCCTTGGGAAGCCGTACCAATCACCTCAGCCTGGCTGAGCGGCCCCTCCCCCTCCCCCTTACCTCCGCCCACCCCAGACCCAACATCAAACTTTCATAATCTTCTTCATCATCATCATCACTTCCCCAAATCGTGGTCGTAGCTGAGCGCCCCTTGCAAACTGCCCTTGTGCTTGTTTGATTATTCTCAACCCGTCCACTCAAGTGGGAAATCCTGCACGGTTGACGCATGACCTTCTTGGTGGAGTACGCCATGGACCAGCTCCAAAAAAGGAAGGAGCAGCCTTTGCTCTCAATCCTCAGTTGCACGTCAACCTGACGGTATCATCTCGGCTTCTCCCTTTCTTTCAACGTCACTTGCTTCATCGAGCCACTTGCTCAACAATGGTCTGTTCGCTTTCACGATTCCGGACCTGTTGCAGTCCCGGTCGGGGCACGCCCAAGTGATTATTGTCCTCGCTCACGCTGTGAGGCGCATGGTCGGTAGCACCCGAGTCCATCTCGTCCGGCGAGGGCGATTTCCTCGTAATAGAGCCATCCGCGTCTTGTTCGTGCACCAGCTTCTCAATGTTTTCCACTGTCAAAGGCATTGACGGCTCGCTGTGGGGCCCCTCGGACGCCTTGTGATGAAGCAGTTGAGGCCCCACGAGCGAGAAGAGCTTCTCATCCCGCAATTTCCTATCCCTCTCCTCCGCATGGATACGTCGCATGGCTCTTTCACTCTCATTTTCGCTGGACCTGGCAAACGCTGCATCGCTCTGGTAGTGGAGGCGGTCAAGTTCTGCGGTCAGTGCTTGCGCCGTCGTTTCAGATTCCAGAGACATGCCTGCCGTTCGCGGGTGATCACTAGCGCTAAAGCTGTTTCCAGGGTTCGGAACTGTTTTGCTCCGTCGATCCTTGTCATTTGTGCAAGGCGTTTCCCTTGCCGCTTTTCGCCGTCCTTCGAGTGCCCACTTGACAAGCATCTTTTGGTCGTTAGCGACTTCGCTCGTCTGCTTGGGGAACCTACTTACCTTCTCCAGAAGCTTTCCTTTTACTGGCTTCGCCAGATAATCCTGTCAAGTTTCAGCACTTTTCGCTCTTCCATACACTAGCACATGTCTATTCTAGTACTCACATCCATTCCACACGACACGCACTTTTCCTTGTCCCCTTGAATTGCACTAGCTGTCATGGCAACAATAGGAACACCCTGAACCTCGGGCATGTTGCGCCAAGGAGCTTCTGTCCGAATAGCATGCGTGGCAGAGTAACCATCTCGAATGGGCATCTGCAACCATTCGTCAGCTGCCGAGCCAGATCAGCCTTACATGGCTTACTTACCTGGACGTCCATGAGGATGATGTCCGGACGTGGATGTGACGGGCCGAATTCCTTGGCCAGGTATTCAAGTGCTTCCTGGCCGTTCCACACTGCGTTAACTGAAAAGTGCAACTTTTTAATCGTTTTGAGGGCGATTTGCTGATTGATGTGGCTGCAGACGGTTTGGTCAGCAATTTCTTCTATCATGCATTCTGGTGAGAAACCTACTTGTCTTCGACAACCAGCACATGGACATTATGTCTTTCACTCTCAGAAAGACTCATGAACTGATCCGGTATGGCCGACTTGAACATTGGGTAAGCTGAAGTTCCATTGGACACTTGTGGGGTCAATGGTGGCGTATGGCCTTCAGAGCTTCCACAGGAGACCGACATGTCACTCTGAAGTCGATCTGGTATGGACTCCAGATGCACCAACGGAGATTCACCATCCTGTGAGGGGGCTCGGGTGAAGGGGATCCAGAATGTGGCCGTAGTACCCTGTCCCAGCTTGGAGTCAAGCCATATTTGGCCCTTCATGAGCTCAACCAGGTTCTTACTGATAGTCAGTCCTAAGCCAGTTCCACCAAACCTCCGAGCCGTAGATGAGTCTGCTTGACTAAAAGGCTGGAATAGCCGTTTGCGAACCTCTTCTTCAATTCCGATGCCTGTATCGACAATGCTGAAGTTGACTGTGACCGTCTCCTTTGTTTCATGGCTGATAGAAACGGACAGTTGGACAGTCCCTACAGACGTGAATTTGATGCTATTGGTGAGGACGTTGGTAAGGATCTGGCGAAGTCGGCCTGGGTCTCCAATGACTCGTAGATCTGACTGTACTTCGTCCTGGATCAAACTCTGATATTCCAGCCCCTTTCTGTTGGCCGCAAAGGCCATCATCTTGTTAACATCCCTGAGCACCACGCTGAGACTGAACTGCACCTCTTCAACATCCAGCCGCCCGGATTCCACCTTGGAGAAACTGAAAAGGGGTTACAAAGTCAGCAGATTCTTCATGGTGAATACGACATTTAATATTGTTGACAAAGAGAAATGACTTACTCCAATATGTCATTGATCACCGTCAAGAGACTGTTTGCTGATCGATGGATGTTCTCGGCACATTCCTTTTGCTCCTCGTTGAGATCCATATCGAACAGGAGCTCACTCATACCAATAACTCCAGCTATGGGCGTTCGGATTTCGTGGGACATATTGGCCAGGAATTGAGACTTCATCCGGCTGGCTTCTTTCGCTGCTGCCTCATTGGCTAGAAGCCTTGAATTTTCCTTTTCCTGCTCCTTCAGCTGCTCTTCTCTTTCCCGTAGTTCTGTAATGTCCATCGAGACGCCAATAACGCCATCCACAAATGCTTGCCCTTCGATACCTGCTGTTCGCGACGTGCTCATCAGCGGCACTAAGCGGGTTCGGTAATAGCGATTCTCAGACATGTAACCGCCATTAACGATTTCATCCGACTGTTTGCCCTGGAGGATTTCCTGGATTGGCCCGCGCCAACGCTCTCGGTTATTATCAGTAAATGCAAAGACGTCGTATACGTCTCTACCAAGCAGTTGGTCCTTTGGCATGTGTTCGTTGGCATCAATCTCACCCTCAAGCACCTTGACCCGATTATTGCGGTCGATGACCCACAAGACAATTTTTGCGTGTTGGATGACCTGTTGCAGTTGCTCCCTTGTTTGTCGCGCCTCTTGACGTGCCAGCACTAAGTCATGAATGTCAGTGCAGGTGCCGAACCACTTCACTATCCGGCCTGCGTCGTCGTAGAAGGGTACAGCCCGCCCCAACATCCAGCGCCACTGTCCGTCGAAACGTTGACACCTGTATTCTGTGTTGTACTCATCCCCCGTTTTCAGCGAATGGAACCAGCGTTCAGCGGTTGCACGCATATCGTCAGGATGGAATGGAAGCCGCCAGCCTTCGCCCAAAGACCTCTCCACTGTCAAGCCTGTGTAGTCGTACCATCTCTTCGAGAACCAATCGTGCATGCCATCCGGGGTAGTCGTCCATACCATGACGGGCATAAAGTTTGCAATGTACTCAAATTGCTTTTCGTTCTGCTCAATTTGCTCCGCAATCTTCTGGGTGTATTCTGTAACATCCTTGAACACCACAATGCCGCCAAGAAATTCTCCAGTCTCTTCATGGAACACCGGTTCGCCGTTGACTTCGTACACCATCCCAGAGCCTGTCACAGGGTGTCTAATGCCAAGCCGTTGTTTCTCGACTCTTTTCTTGTGGCGGCAGACCTCAATTATAGGGAATTCTTCTATCGGAAGGCGACGTTGGAAGTCTTCAGTCCAACACGAGAACTGCGCAAGGAAATCTCTTTGGTCGCCAGAAAGGTAAGCAGTGTCTTTGGGCACGAGTCGCAGTAGCGCTTTGTTTGGTATACCAAAACTCTCGTCTTTCCACATTGCTTGGGAGGTGTTAACAAAATACAGACATTTGAACGGAAGCAGAGAAGGAACATACCGTAGGCAGGCATAGTAATAGAATTAAGAATGGCATCTTTGAGCTGTGTTGCCTTCTGAAAGACAGATGCGGAATTTGCAATGTCACCCTTGTTTTTGCTAGGAGGACCACGGGGAGGGAACTCTGGCTGCTGCAGGGTGGGCGTGACAACCTTGGATGCAGGATTTGAGCTGTTGTTGGAACGTCGACTTGAAGATGTACTTGAGCCCGAACTGCGCGACTTGTCGAGCCTCACTCCGGTATTTGTACGATTTACCATGCGCGTAGAGGGCTGTGCCTTCTTGGAATTTTGGGCTTGTGTTGCGCTTGTAAAGGTCAACGTGTAGTATTGAGTGTCTTCAATGCTCCATATTGAAACGATGCATGATGCTTGTACTGCGTCATTGTATGATCCTTTTCTGTCACACTTTTTCAGGGTGTCGTCGGAGCCTAGAGCAAGTGGTACGACAACCACATCCATAGATACATCATGTACCGTAGTCCGTGCAAGGTTTGTACTACTCAGAGGCGGCAGAGATTGGGCTTGCTCGTTTCCCTGTTGATAACCGGTGTTGTCTGCAGTGGGTGTGGTGTGCCCGCTCGCCATATAAGAATCTCCGTCTGTGTCCACGTTGTCCGCCACTGCATCGTTTACAACGCAATCGAGGAAGGCCTAGATATGACATGCGTTAGCTGACTCGGATTAAAAAAATACCATGCACATGAACACCAACCTCCCATGTGATCAAGATCGGAGAACCGTTTTGTATAATATCTATACCCAGTTCTCCCATGGTCTTGCCCTGCAAGGCCTCTGTTATGGAGAGATGATGAATACTTTCAAAATCAATGTTGAACAAGCGGCCCATGGCTTCATTGGCTAGTATTACAGTCTTTTGTGACGACAAGACAAGGACTGGGATTGGCAAGTATTGCAGCGCGGTGAGGGATGCAATGGTGGCTGAGGGTGCAGTCAAGTGCATAGACATGGGATCGCTACGTATCGAGCTGGGCGACTCTGGGCGGGAGCGCGACTCCATTGCGAAGTAATCGCCCTCATTGCCGGCGATATCTTCAGTCATTACGGCGACGGGGTCGTGACAAGGTGTATGTAGGTATGCAAGACTGTTTGTCGCACCCTGGTCGGCGCGGAGATAATAGCCGTAGCACCGAAGGAAGGACGCCGGGAGGCTGATCGTCTCAAGGAGACTGGGCGGCGGCGAGCAGCGGGCTTCCTAGCACAGGCATAGGGGCAGTCGCGTGCAACAAAGCGAGAGAGCGAGGAAAGGCTGAAGGCGCCTCTGGGGCTAGTGGGCGGAGTGACGGCGGGAGACGTTAGGAAGAACGCCTGCAGAACAGAGGAGAGTACAGTCGATGGGCACTCGAAGTGGGGATTGAACGACGAGGCGTAGAGGCGGGCAGATCACTTCTAGACCAGACCAATCGATTAGCGCACGGGGCAAAGAAGCTTCTGCCAGCTGCCGAGGCTGCAATGCGTCGAGGATTTTTCTCAGCAGTCGCCCGCCCGGAAGATGCTGCTGTATGTGTGTACTCTGTGTGTATCGGCACATAGACAGGTCAGGAGCAGGGCAGTCACGACAGCCCGAGCGATTCTAGAACGCCATCTTCACCCCCGACCGCTCTCCTGGCGCAAAGAGAATGACGCAACTCTGCATGTTGGCCCAATAGGCGCCAGGACAGTGCACGACCAGCGCTGGCCATGGCCTTCTCTCCGGGCCTGGCCATTCGACTTTTGCAAAATCAACATGCTGGCAGAAGGGTTTGCGATGCAGAAACATGCGCCGGGTCCGCCATGGCCTTAGCGATCAAGCGATCATCGCCGGAACCCTGCACTGTATTCTCGCGGCTCGCGCACATCTTCAACTTGGATCACCCCAACTACACGTGTCAAATTCCACTGATTGCCGATCGGTTTCGTCTGCTTGGGACGCAATCCCTGCATGCATGCATGTAACTGTATTACTTATATCATCAGCGCAACCCACTGTGGTTGATATGGAGACTAATAGCCAAGCACCGCATGATCTAGCATTAGAGAAGGTATAGTATGCACAGCTGTCTTACCATAGAGTATGGCGATTCATATCGAATCCACATCGAGATCGAGCACCTGTCTTGTTTATCACGATCGGATCTCTTTTTTGTCATGTTGCAGTGCACAGTCAAGCATACTGGATGATCTGGCGCATGTCCGATTGTGTGATCACGAGGGCCATATGCATGCACTCGATATAATAGCTACACACATTTTCCTTTGTTTAGCGATCTGACGTGTCCGCAAGTATGCAGAACAATCGTGGAAACGCGACCCATTACTATTTCCCAGATCGGATATGGATGCTTACATAATCCGAAGACCTATGATGCTTGACCCTGGCGAACGACAACTGTCTTTCTCACATGCAGCCGCAGCAACACCACCGCTCTAGTCCTCGTTCCTAGTGCTGCTTTTACAAACGTCACGCCAACCGGCAGGATCACTCAAATCAGACCTTAGATATGTTTTTCTTCGGGCTGGGAGGGCTGTTCTACGGTATTCCTCGTCAAGTCGCATTGGACAGACCAAGTCGCTAACACATCTAGTTGCCGTACTCCTCATCAATGCTATCGCCATCCTCTCCGAAGACCGCTTTCTCGCACGCAGTACGTTTGATCCGATTCGACGCCCACCATCCCTCCTTGTATCCTCCCGCACGCGTACCGGCTATATCAATTTATTTGGGACACACGTATACTGACCATAGACAGTTGGTTGGACAGCATCGGCAGATCCTGGCTTCCCTGGCCAGCGCGATGACTCGAGTGTCAAGGCACGATTGATCAACCTTGTCTCCTCTGTACGAACATTGATGCGGAGTATGTCTACCCCTCCGTCAGCCGCTGGCAGCCATGCTCCCCACACGCAACACTCATGGTTTCCCTGAAAAATGTTCAGGACATATAGACTGACCGCCATGTAGTACCGTTAATGTTCATCAACACCCTTATGATAATATACCTCATCGTTCTTGGATGACCATGGCGCACAAGGAGTCGGAGGACGCTGAGACTGCTATAACAGGCATAATCACAACATTCACATAACGAGATTATAAGACGCCTTGACAGCGCCGTTGCCAGGACATGAATACCTAAAACCACTTCAGGGGTTTTCATGAGCCCAACTGGAGCGGCCGTGTCGGCGGATTTGCATCGTACTTAGCAAGGCGTTGGGGTTATGGGACTCGGCCACTCGCATGTAAAGCGTTTGTGCCATGGAATCTACCACAGCTGTGGATTATGGTTCCGGATGTACAAAATCAAAAGTACGAATTATCTAGTGTTTTTGCCAATTCATATGCAGATGGGCAATAGCACTCATATATATTGTTTACTGTTGAGGCAGATTCAGACACGTAGCAGGGAGACTAGGTCGCCAGTGCGAATTTCCCGAGGAATACAACTCTAAATGTCGCTAGAATACCCTATCGATGCATATCAAGGTCATAACTCTGTGCTTCTGTTTTTTTTTTCCACAAATTACAAGATTCTCTCAAGATGGATTTTTTTAAACTAATAAATACTTTTACCATTGGAAACCTGCTTTCTGATCCGATTTATAAAAAAATTGAACACCACAATTTTATTTCTTACCTTGCGCCACATTCTCTTATAACTTCGCCTGCCCTCCGACCTCCAACAAACTCTCAATCGTCATCTTCCACAACTCCGCCCTCTCTTGACTAATAGCATTCAAATCATAACTCACTCCAAATGCCACAATACCCTCAGCAGTAGTCAAACTTCCCACCAAAAACTCATTCTCCCTCGCCCTAACACCTATATTCACATTTCGGAAATCCGCTGCGAAATCCCTGTCACCCAGATCTTGAAGATTATACGCCCCAGGCTTGAAAAATGTCGCAAGAGATCCTACAGAAGAAACACCGCACGTCGCTCTGAATCCTGCCATATCGGGCAGAAGCGAGCCTTGCGGGTTGCTGTAAGACGAGGAACGTCGTTCAGGCGGCAATTTACCTTGGATAATCTCGATTTGCGCAACATATCCCGTTGCAAGAAGGCGGGCTGGAGAGTGTTTGTCCAGTATACCCGCCGGTCCGGCCGTACCTTTTCCCCTGAGCCGCTTCTGGTAACCCTTTAGTTCGCGGTTTGCGTGCTTGGCTACCAATTTGAATCTGCCTTCGATTGGGAGTTCCGAGGAGAGAAAGGGCATGACGATGCCTTCGCTGAAAGCCAGCATGCATGATTCTGGAGGTGGGGGGTTGACGAACCAGGCGCGCGGGTTTAGTGGGAAGGATGCTGTGAAAGGGGGTTGTTGGGATAAAGGATTGAGGGATTCGTGGATCGACATCATGGCTAGACCTGCGAGAGCAAAGCAGCCGGCGCCTATGGAGACTTGTGCGGAACGGCAGAGCGATATGAGGCGGGAGGATGCAGAAGCGGAGAGTGCGGCGTTGATGTGTCCGCATGACATTGGTGGCCGTGATGAAGCACTGTAGTCAAAGATCTTGTCAAATTTTGGCTCCAATGGCATTGGCACTTCCAGTCTCCGTTCGCGGCGAAGCGGGTTCGTAAATGTCGTTGGTAAGCCTTTGTGTACATGGCGCAACACGCGGATCAAGGCCCAGAACCAGCGTTGCCTTGCTTTGTTCCCAACAATGGGTGGATACAGGTCTTCTTGGGCTACTGGTAGAATGGCCTTTATATTGTCTGCTTTGCGGAATGTCTCGATATCTGCTAAAAGCTCGTGAGGCGACTGGTTCATAATGCGATTGAAGTGACTGAACCAGTTGTACGCCGACAAGCCATCAGATATTTGGTGCGCAATTACAATAAGGAGTCGAAGAGAGTATGTCCCGTTAGGAAGGCGTGTAATTGGTAGAACATGTATTTTCGAGAGGCATTTCCTGGGCTCAATGATTCTTGTCACATTGAAGGCGTGGTGGTAAATTTCTTTGTCATTGACTTCGTCATATGCATCCTCGATCCAAACGATGTTGTCATTGACAGCCTGGATAGCAGCGTCCTGTGTAGAGGGGATATCCACTGCAAATCCACGCATTCCTGTATCCGGGTCGTCATGGACACGTGCCAGAAGAAGAGGGTGCTGCAGGCGAAGGGAAGTCCATGCTAAGGCTATCCTATGCCGGAGTTCATCCTTTGAGAGTTTGTGCTGAACGGCTAAGGTAAATAAACTAGTCATATCTACGAGACGGTTAGTTGATATCGTGACTGATTTGGTTCAGGAATACCACTAAGAGTATTCCGCATAGTCTGGAACAGAGCAAAATGAAGTTGGAGATTGCACAGAAAGCTCACATACATACCTGCCCGACCGCCATAGTATGTGCCATCAGCATCAAAAGAGGTTTCCACTAATCCCAGGGGACGCTGGAACGCTTGATTCCCATTGGGGGCAATTGATGCCTTCCAAACAGCATGGTTGTTTGCATACTTGTCTAGCCAGTGGCTCCGCTGTTGTTGCTGCGCCATTGCGCCTCTAGTTTTCTCTTCCCAGAACAGCTAATTGACTACTGTTATTACCTAGTCGATATACACAGTGAATGCAATGAGTAAGCTAGATAAGGGGTGTGGGAACGGATGAGTGTAAGTGTTCTTATACAGATTGAACATACGTACGTATGGCCGAAGTGCAAGGAAGTGGGCCGGCTTGCTTGTTGCGGTATACTTTTCGGCTTAGCTGATGCGAGTCATGAAAGGTTTAGCGTCATCATGACAGCTGGCGATCAAACTGTATCTAGTCTTGAAGTGCTTCACTACACTTTGACTATGTAAGTTCATTATAGTATATATTGGCTACGAGCCGCAAGAAGCGCATGCTTTATAATACGAATAGTCCAAAAATACTTCCCCCATAGTTTCTAGCAGAGCAAATAGAAGAAAACGCAGAAAACCTCTCGTTTTTAAATTAAATACCAATTTTTCACCTACGCATTTTTCTGTGTAAGTCGGGTATCGCTAAAGCAGTTTTCAGATCCTTGGCCAGCATCTTAATCCTCACATGTAGAGGTTTTGGAGGTTTTGGGCCTGTCTTCTAGACCACATCCTCCATCTCATCTTCACCCTCTGAATCTCCATCACCAGGGCCCTCTGGAGCAGCTGCCTCGGCTTGTTTACTGGTATCACGCTGATTTTCAAAAACGGCTTGGCGCTTCCAGTTACTTGCAAAGGGGCCAGACTTGACAAGCAGTGCAATGTCGCCAAGCACCTCTTTGAGGTATTGCTCCGGCTGTTTGGTGCGCTGCTTGATAGCCTTCATAGGCCAGTACTGATACTCGTCGAATAGAGTATGCAAGAAATCGATGAGATCCGACCTAGCCATACGAGCAGCCTTGTTCTGTTGCGATTTTCCTTTGGTCATAGGTCTGATGAAGTTCTTGAACCGGTTGTTGAGCATGATGGAATTGTTTACATCTGAGACTTCCGTATCCTTGGTAATTATGGTGGTCATGTGAGAGCCTTGAATGGCTTGCTTGATGCGTGCGGCGCTGAAATCTTTGTATTCTTTGGTTTCCAAAGGGTTGGCATTGTACTGTCGCGTCGCATGACCAATCAAGGCGGTCTGCTTAGGAATAGCCTTTTTGTACTTGCTCCGCTTTTGAACGCGCGCCTTGGGATCTTGCACACCGCCAAAGCTCCCTTGGTTCCCCCCTCTACCATAGCCATGACCCCGAAAGCCCGGAAGATCCTTTTCTGTGAAAACATATGTGTTTCCGAGTATTGTGTCGGTGGCTGGCGCAGGATCGAGCTGGAAGGCAGAGGGCAGGTTTGACTTTGCGCGCCAGCGGTCGTTGAGGAAGACACGCATGGGCTTCGTTTTATCGATGCCGCTTGTTGTCGCAAATCCGTAAATTTCTCCGATTTGTATCTGATCGTTGTCGTTTCCATCGGCGAGATCGTCCCACTTTGAAACTGCTTCATACAACCACGGCGGGATGCGCGTGAGCCAGATGTCCTTGTCTGAGCTGTCCTTGCTCATGATCATCTCGCCAGTATCCTCATAGAACTCATCGTCCATAAAGCCGCCGCCTGGGGTAGATGCGTCTGGGTCCATCTTAACATCGGGGTCTGCCTTGATGCCGTTCATGGCGACGTGTGAGAGAGAGATTGTGGCAATAGTGGGTAGCGAGCGGGTTCCTGACTTTCCGGGCAGAGGTAGAGACCGTGATGGTGCTGGAAAAGGGAAAGAATAAAGACGTGGCACAAGGGCGACGAAGGGAGGGTTAGATGTAGGTGCGATGATGAAAGGCAGCAGGCTGTCCATTGTTGGTTGTTCCCGGCGCGCGCTCGCATTAGCGTGCCAAGACCGTTATCGATAATGCGGAGCTGTCGCGCAGCCTCGCGCTTGCCCCAGCTGCCCCACGTCTGTTGCCTACCATTCACACTGTGAACGTAATCCTGACCTTCTCTCGTGAGACCATTGAACAGATTCTCTCATATCGGGTGGTATTATTTGAATTAAACCCATAAATTTACCGCCCATCCACGGTCAAGTGAGCCAACTCCCCGCAATTGTTTCCGTTTGCCCCTCCCAAAGTCATGGCTTCGCAAGCTGTCACCACTGCTTTGCAGGAGATTGAGACAGCGCCTGTTAGCGACAAGCCTTCCCAATACACCGCTCTGCTTCAGCAGATTATCGATTCTTCGGCCAATGTGGCTGCCGACCTAAAAGCATATGCACAAACTCTCCTTGACGACTCACTCGGCATAGTCGTGCTCCGACCACTTCTTGCTGCCTTCGTGGATGCCTTCCGGACACTCAAGGATCCAGATGCCAAGATAGAGATCGGTGAAAGGGTTGTTACACTGCTACAGTCCAAGGGTGCGGGGCAATACGAAGAGCAGGATACACAGATCAAGCAAGCACTAGCAGATGCTTTTGAAGAGAACGAGGATTACAGGCGGTCTGCACAGACACTAGCTACCATCAACCTGGAATCCACCCAGAAGTCCGTCACTCCTGATGAAAAGGCCAAAGTATGGATCCGCATAGTGCGGTGCTATCTGGAAGAGGATGACCCGACGAGCGCGTACACTCATCTTAACAAGATCAAGAACATTATCTTCAGTGTCCAAGATAAGGCGACTAAGGTCATGTTCCACCTTAGTCAAGCCCGTATTCTCGATTCGCAACGCTCCTTCCTGGACGCTGCGCAAGCGTACTACGGCATAAGCAATGAGCCCCTGGTGGACAGTGAGGAGCGAGATGGATTCCTTGGACGGGCCATTATATGTACAGTCCTCGCACCAGCAGGTCCTCAGCGAGGGAAGATGTTGGCCAAGCTATACAAAGACGACCGAGCCAGTTCTGCGGATGACTTCGCAATCCTGGAGAAGATTTTCTTGAATCGTCTGCTTACGCCTGCTGAAATCAAAGCCTTCTCTGCCAAGCTGGATCCGCACCACCTTGCACGAGGCTCAGATGGCTTGACAGTATTGGACAAGGCTATCCTTGAACACAACCTAGTCGGCGCATCAAAACTATACAACAACATCGGATTCGACCAGCTTGGTGAGCTGTTAGGCATTGACGCAGAAAAGGCCGAGGACTACGCAGCCAAAATGTTGGAGCAAGGTCGTCTGGCTGGGTACATTGATCAAATAGACCGTTATGTCTTCTTCGAGGGAGAGGCAAGTGGAGAGCGCAAGACGGGCCATGCGGAGCGAGTAGTGGGTAAGGAGCTGCGCAAATGGGACGCCAATGTGACCGGATTGGCAGAGGAGGTAGAAAAGGTCACATCGATGATCCAGAATCAACACCCAGACTTCTATGCGGCGCAGGTGGTACATTAAAAGCAATGGTCTAGCGAATAGCGAACTCAGTCAGAGGTTATTGAAGCATAATTGGCGTACGGGGATCACACAATACCCAACTGTATAACTGGTTACGATACAGAACATAGTATTCAGACTTATCAAGTGCGAATCTTATGTGTTTTCTTCTCTTGAACGGCACTACTCTAGTCTTGCCCACATGTCGTTTTGCAGACCCAACATTCCAGGATATATCAAAAGGTATTGAAAACTCTCTGCGTGCGTGCATTCCAAGGGTTTCTCCATTGAGTTGGTTGCTGTAGATTTGGTCGAGTTAACTATCGATACATGTACATAATCAAGGATTCGTCGTCAAGGCATTGCGACCTTGCATCTTCCAATGCATACCCCTCCCCTCATACCACTATTGTACACTCTGTTCTCCGCCCTCTTGCGCCAACGCTGCCTCATACTCCTCCAGACTCTTAACCTCCAACTCACTAACCTTCAGCACTGTAAAGTGCAACTTGCTCTTTACATGCTTGACATGTCTCCGCCGCCTCTTGGTCTTTTCCTCAACCCGCAATGGCTCGCTCTCGACGCCGACAACGCGCGCTCTGCAAGTGAATAACCGTTCATCCAAATAGTACACTTTTTTCCCGTGGTCCGAGGTCCCCTTGACGGCCTCTGGCGCTTTTAATGTGTAGTCTCGTGAACCAATGTGTGTGGCGCGGTTAAGACGCAGGATATCACCAGGGCGGACGTTCGGCATTTGGAAAGGAAGACGAAGGGTGTCGCCACGAGTTAGGAGATAGGGTCTTCCGTGGAGATGTGCGGTTATATAGTGTGCTGGTTGCATTTGCAGGAGCGGGAGGAGTGTTCGGATGGAGGGTGTGAGTGTCGTTGAGACAATGTCTGATCGAGCATGTGGCGACGCTTTGATATTTTCAGAGGTAGCAGGTTTAGAGGCATTTGCTGGCAGAGGTTGAGGGGTTTTCGAGCGCTCCTTGGCTTCCTGTGATATGCGGTGGCCGGATTGGATAAGCGGCTCTGGTGTATTTGATGTGTCGAGGTTGTGCGATATTGTTGTTACTCCTGCGCGGAGAATCGTGGGCTGTATTATCGACCTCGACTCGAGGAGAGCATTGCGAGCGGTGCGAGCGAGTAGCGCCATTGTTGCGTTTTGTGCGGGTCGCAATGGCTGGCAGACTGCCGGGGGATTTGATAGAATCTTGGTGGTTGCGGAGGTCCGATGTTGAAGATTCCCGCATGGCTGCGCGCTAGTGGGGGCTAGCGCCGATTTTTTTGGAGAGGCAAGTTGCGCTCGCTGTTGTAGGGCGACTTACTCCACTCCACCACTACCCTACCACACCTAGCACAGAGAGGTAGTCACCATGCCTCAGAACGAGTACATTGAGCGCTTTACGAAGCAGTACGTTTGTGCCCGCTGCCCATGTTGCCACCCACCCGCAGACGCTTCGCGCATCGCAAATACCGAGGCTGCACCACCTGGCAAATGAAGAATCTGGCTAACAGCCCCATCCTAGGCACGGAAAGCGCTTCGATCACGATGAACGCCAACGAAAGAAGGAAGCTCGTGAGGGCCACAATGCGTCCAAGAAGGCCCAGAACCTGCGTGGATTGAGGGCGAAGCAATATGCCGAGAAGCGTAGGAAGGAGAAGATTCAGATGAAGCAGAAGATTCGCGCCCACGAGGAGCGAAACGTCAAGTCGAACGAAGCTCCCGAGCCTGCTACCGAGGCACTGCCTTCCTACCTCTTGGACCGCTCCAACGAAAAGAATGCCAAGGCTTTGTCCTCTGCCATTAAGCAAAAGCGTTAGTAAATCATGTGCACTAATTATCTGCACGTGCTGATGCTGTGTTCTAGGAAATGAGAAGGCTGCCAGGTTTTCTGTACCACTTCCAAAAGTCAAGGGTATCTCTGAGGAGGAGGTAAGAAGCGCCAATTGCACGGGTTTTGTGCGGGACATGCGCTAACTTTGTACCTCTCTAGATGTTCAGTGTTGTCAAGACGGGTAAGAAGACGAAGAAGAAGTCTTGGAAGCGAATGATCACCAAGCCTACTTTTGTCGGTCCTGGCTTCACTCGTCGACCTGTCAAGTATGAGGTTCGTACAGCTATAGCTCAGCGCACAGAACGCATACTGACAGTGGATCCAGCGCTTCATCAGACCTATGGGATTGCGTTACAAGAAGGCGAACGTCACGCACCCTGAACTCAACGTAACAGTCCAGCTGCCAATTATGTATGTCATTTTGAAACCATGTAAAAGGAAGACAACATGCTAACACCATCACAGTTCGGTCAAGAAGAACCCACAGCAGCCACTGTACACTCAGTTGGGTGTGGTATGTTTTCTCAGACTCCTGTTCGCGAACCACTTGATGCTAACGATTATCAGTTGACAAAGGGTACTATCATTGAAGTAAATGTCTCCGAACTCGGACTTGTGACTGCTGGAGGAAAGGTTGTTTGGGGTCGCTATGCTCAGTACGTTGATGCCCATGAATTGATATTTACCCAGGAGCCAAACGACTAACACATGGACCAACAGAATCACCAACAACCCTGAAAATGACGGGTGCTTGAACGCTGTTTTGCTCGTCTAAGGCTCTACCCCAAATGGCGGAACTGTGCATTTGACGGCGTTGAGGGTTTTGGTCCTATCACATGATTCGAAGGCGTTGAGGCGATCATACACAGAGTCTTTTTGTAGAAAGGATATGAGGAAAATTTTTGCTAGGCAAAGGCTGGGATGAACGATGCCGATGATGCAAAGATATGTTGAAGGGGGAAGTTTGGGAAAGGGAAAGAGAAAGAGAAAACTCGCAAAATTTAATTCGTAACATGAAATGCACAAAAGAAAACAAGGAAATATATCACATCGGGGAAAGTACAGCATATCGCCCACTTTTTTTTTTCGATGTGACATGTGTACGAAGCAAAGAATGAGAAGCCTAGAAAAACGACAGATTTGTTCAAAGAGGACAGAAAAAGTAAAGGGAAAAAAAAAGTCTAAATGTGATTCAAAATGCCCCTAAATGCCCATCATGGTATCATCCACCCCTATGTTTTTCCTCTCAAAATGCCATTTGCCATATGCCTTTGCATAACGCAAGCAAGAAAGAAATCCGAGAAAAGAAAAGAAGGAAAAAATAATAATAATATAACGGCATGAAACGTGTTTGCCAAGGGAAGGGGAAAACGAAGAGGAAAAAGAAACAACAACAACAACGAAAGGTGTAGAGAATGCTTCGTCCTTACGTGGTAGTAGTTCCAATCTCCAGCAACAACAACGAAAAAAAAAGGCC